GATTTTTTCTTTCATGCCAATAGTCGTTGTGCATGGAGACCTGAATAGACTCGTAAAGAAATTTATTGGATTCATAAATTAGATACTTTGTTCCATAATAGCCTTAATACTAATACAGTATAAATACACACACACACACGCACTCACACAAACACATACACACACACTTTCGTTCAAAATAAAGAGTTGATATTTCTATTCTTAACAGCATGGCAAATGGTAGTTCAAAATAACGAATTGATAACTTTACTCACAATAGCAAAACACTTGATATTACAAAAAAACTTACATGATCCCAATAATTCAAATTATATTTTCCCTTTCCTCTCTTAATAATCGTTGCTTATATATTTCGCTTGCAGTTGTCTAACTCATGTGTTCAAGCATTGTGTTTGAAGGCTATTGTATATATATATATATATATATATATATATATATATATATATATATATATATATATATATATATATATATATATATATATATATATATATATATATATATATATATATATAAACTACAGATTGCATGTATTGCAAATCCATTAATGTCAAGCTGTGTTCCTATCTTTAGATTGTAATAATGTAAAATAATTGAATGAAATCTCTTTTGAAGAGGAAATAAAGAAAGTCATACATACATACATACATACATACATACATACATACATACATACATACATACATACATACATACATACATACATACATACATACATACATACATACATACATACATACATACATACATACATACATACATACATACATACATACATAGAGGACGCAAGATATATTACATTTATCATAAATATAAATTATAATGAAAGGCACGTGACAGCTGCTAGTTAATACAAACTAATGTATCATAAGCAGCATCACCATAAATCTAATTTCTAATTGATTTCTAATTTATTTTAAATTATTTTTGTTATTGATACCAGAGCATCAATTTCTTCACACAGCTCATTTAAAACTTAGCAAATTTGATTAATATATTCGACAAGACAAGTTGTACACTTTAGTTTTGTGCTTACCTTTAAATTCAACTGAAAATTATCTTTTAAAATAAATTTCATTAGCGATCATGATTAGGCTCAGTTGAATAGATCCTGGTGTGATTCGCAAATGGATTCGGTATGTTGAAAACCCATTCAATGTCCGTTCGTAATTACACTCCAACCCTCTGTCTGACAGTCTGTAGGTCTGTCTTTTATGCTGGGTATTATGCCAGTCTCTATGTCTGTCTTTTATGCTGGATATTATGCCAATCTGTATGTCTGTCTTTTATACTGGGTATTATGCCAGTCTTTATGTCTGTTTTTTATGATGAGTATTACACCAGTCTGTATGTCTGTCTTTTATACTGGGTGTTATGCCAGTCTCTATGTCTGTCTTTTATTCTGGGTATTATGCCAGTCTGTATGTCTGTCTTTTATGCTGGATATTATACCAGTCTGTAAGTCTATCTTTTATGCTGAGTATTATATCAGTCTGCATTTTATGCTGGGTATTATGCCAGGCTGTCTTTTATACTGGGTATTATGCCAATCTGTATGACTGTCGTTTATGTTGGGTATTATGCCAGTCTGTATGTCTGTCTTTCGTGCTGGGTATTATGCCAGTCTGTAAGTCTGTCTTTTATGCTGGGTTTTATACCAGTCTGTCTTTCTGTCTTTTATGTTGAGTATTATGCCAGTCTGTCCTTTATGTTGGGTGTTATGCCTTAATTAATATAATGGATAACAGCATTTACTGCGTACTTTCGGCATCATCTGAAGATACGATTCACAGGAGTGTACACTTTCTGTAGTCCTCAATGCGAGTAATTATATTTCGGAAGATATTTTTTTCACCTCCAGCATCATTGATGTCAAATACAGACGAGAACTTTTTTGTATCTGAGGACCAGGCATGGAAAATATGTTGGCCATTACTGACATCATTGGCTCATAAATTCGTTACAGATATAATGTAAAAAAGGAAGAAACAAAGAAATAGCTTCTAAAGCCCAACATATGTTTTGTATTTTATGGGAAGATAATATGTCCCCTTCTTTAACTTAAGCACAGGAATGTTGGGTCATGGTCTTTCAAAGTCGGCCATCAGAACGGAAGATAAAAGCTTTGAGAAAATTTGTTAAGCATTTTGTGGTTTGTTTGAGAATGATTGTATCTATCCATATGGCTGTAGATCCATTATTGTTCATTTGTTTTAACCAAGGCGGACTATTGAGGAATAAGAAGTACCTCGCTTTTATATAAAGAAGTTACACTATTTGTATCAATACCTATACGGCAGGATGAAGCTAAGGGTTAGCTGAAGAGGGTCTGGACAGCTATTCGGACTCACAGAACAAGAGACCTGTACAATAAAATGACTATCTTTATATACGCATTTTCTAGTGTTGGGTGTTAACTTGTTGAGATGTCACGCAACCTTGTTCCCAGTGCTTCTAAAGAATAGCTAATTAAGACACCTGGATATAATTAAAACATTTATTCCCCACATTTAACTGTGGAATGTGCATGTGCTTTAAAGCGACAGGAAATCGGGATCAGCTTTTTATTCTGCAGAAAATACTAGTGTAATAGTTATGTCTTAGGGTTCTAAAGTCGTCTGTGTTGAAGTTGTCCTTAATTATTAAAAACTGTTTATAATGTTCAGATTACATGGAAAAGACGTAACATAGTAATTTTTGAAATACATGACAGTAATCCTTGAAAGACAAGACAGTAATCCTTGAAAGACAAGACAGCAATCCTTGAAAGACATGACAGTAATCCTTGAAAGACAAGACAGTAATCCTTGAAAGACATGACAGTAATCCTTGAAAGACAAGACAGTAATCCTTGAAAGACATGACAGTAATAATATTTCTCTTAAACATCAATCAGAGTACTTAATAATATGATCCTAATAAAATCAATGAATGACCAATGTAATTCAAAATGAGGAATTTAAACGCCAAATATAAAATTGTTATAGATATTTTAATGCACCATGACGGAGAATTTGGGTGGGGCTGGATATTCTGATATTTGGTTTTAAAGTCCGCTATCAAGAACAACCATGTCAACAATTTTTAAGGTTTGAACAGTCAATTCCGTCAGGAAAAGAAACACAATAATGATACGTTTTCCGACAAGGGAAAAAGGGAGTGTAGTAAAAATTTGTACGTTATGAATGTTATTAGTTTAACCAAACGGATTGATAGAGCACTTTCTTCTGTTGGAATGACTTCACAGACAAATAAGTGCTTACATTTTGCCGTGAGATAATGTATGGCAGAAGGACAGATAGGAGTAGCTATAAAAAAGATCCTTAGAGGTAATGCATGACAGAAGAACAATATAGAGTACTTACTGAGAAAAACCCATTGGGACTTTGTATGGTAATAGGACAGTTAGCAGTATTTGGAGAAAGACTCTATAGGATATTATATAACAAAATAACAGTTAGGAGTACTTACAGAGAAAGACCCAATGGAGGTAATGTATGGCCAAAGAACAATTATGAGCACTTACAGAGAAAGACCCAATGGAGGTAATGTATGGCCAAAGGACAGTTAGGAGTACTTACAGAGAAAGACCCAATGGAGGTAATGTATGGCCAAAGGACAGTTAGGAGTACTTACAGAGAAAGACCCAATGGAGGTAATGTATGGCCAAAGGACAGTTAGGAGTACTTACAGAGAAAGACCCAATGGAGGTAATGTATGGCCAAAGGACAATTAGAAGTACTTACAGAGAAAGACCCAATGGAGGTAATGTATGGCCAAAGGACAATTAGGAGTACTTACAGAGAAAGACCCAATGGAGGTAATGTATGGCCAAAGGACAGTTAGGAGTACTTACAGAGAAAGACCCAATGGAGGTAATGTATGGCCAAAGGACAATTAGAAGTACTTACAGAGAAAGACCCAATGGAGGTAATGTATGGCCAAAGGACAATTAGGAGTACTTACAGAGAAAAACCCAATGGAGGTAATGTATGGCCAAAGGACAGTTAGGAGTACTCACAGAGAAAGACCCAATGGAGATAATGTATGGCCAAAGGACAGTTAGGAGTACTTACACATAAAGATCTTGTGAGACAATGCATGAAAGATGGACAACTAGGAGTACGCACAGAGAAAGACACTACGGGATAATGTATGACAAAAGCACAATTAGGAGTACTTACGGAGAAAGACCCTATAGAATAATGTATGACAAAAGGATAACTATGAATACTCAGGGAGAGAAGACTCTATGGGATAATGTATGAGATAAGGACAATTAGGAGTACTTACGGAGAAAGACCCTATAGGATAATGTATGACAAAAGGATAACTATGAGTACTCAGGGAGAGAAGACTCTATGGGATAATGTATGAGATAAGTACAATTAGGAGTACTTACGGAGAAAGACCCTATATAATAATGTATGACAAAATGATAACTATGAGTACTCAGGGAGAGTAGACTCTATGGGATAATGTATGACATAAGGACAAATAGGAATAATATGGGAAAGAAGATCCTGTGGGATAGTGTGTATCAAAAAGACAACTAGGAGTACTCATGGCGAGAAGGCCCTATGGAATAATGTATAGCAAAAAAAAAACAACTAGAAATACTTAGGGAGAGAAGACTGTATATGATAATGTATAACAAAATGACAACTAGGAGTAGTTACTTAGAGAAGACCCAAATGGGTAATGTATAACAAAAGGACATCTATGGGTACTTAGGTGTGTGTGTGTGTGTGTGTGCGTGTGTGTGTATGTGATTTAGATTTTTAAAGTAGTTTTAAAAATTTTCAGTCATATGGCTACGATGTAAGCGGTGAGACAGTTTATAGAGATGTCTAGCACTGACGCATTATGCCGCAGACATGTAGCATGATGTCCAACCCAGCCACATTATTCTGACACCAGGCTGACCAGTCCTAACACTAACCTCATAATGCTGAGCTTCAAGCGATGCAGCTGTTAGTACCATTTTTATAAGTCTCTGGTGCCACTCGGCCGGGGTTCGAACCCACGACCTCCACATACGAGGTGGACGCTCTAACCACTAGGCCACTGGAGCGGTAAACTAGTTGTATTTAGGGAGAAAAGACCCAATGGGATAATGTATAACAAAAGGACAACTATGAGCACTTAGAGAGAGAAATCCCTGTCGGGTAATGTATGAGAAAAGGATTACTAGGAGTGCTTACGGAGAAAGACCCTGTGGGATAATATATGACAAAAGGAGAACTAAGAGTACTTAGGGAGAGAAGACCCAGTTGGACAATGTAAAACAGGATGGCAAAATGATAACTATGAGTGCATGTGGAGAAATTATTTTAAGACCACGCATAACACAAATTTATTTAAAATTGATATATTTTTAGTGTTTTTAATGTTCGCCTGTTTGCAGATATAACCTTCCAACTGTTTTTTTTCTCCTATAACTGCCACTAATTGTCGATATTATGTAAATTTATATTGTCTGCTTAAAGTTTTGTCCTTGATTGTGGATTGTGGCTGGAGTTCTCGCATATATGACTTTTGTCATGAATGGTAGCAGTAAACAAGAATTTTGTTAACATTTAAGTTCAAGACCCAACCTGGTTTACGGTTAAGAAGGATTTTCCATGGAAATGACTAGTATTGCAGAATATTATCTTGCGTTCTCTGTCGAGTGAAAATCTGTCTACTCATACATATCTGTATATTGCTAAGAGTTCAAAAATAAATAATAGATATAAATGTTGACAACAAGCTTTGTCCAATTTAACAAATAATGCATTTCACTAGAATATAAAGTGAAAAATGAGAAAAAATAACTTAGGGTAATGCAAATTAAATCCAAAAATAATCAAGGAATTAAAGTCACCAGTCCTAGTAATAAAAAGTAACAAAAAGACTTAAAATTAAAAGTGCTGACTTGTCTCTTATGGCCTGAGTAGTACTGATGTGTCAACAGTCTCTTGTTGAAAAACAGAACTATTATTTCAGGTTTGACTTCAGTATAAATTCCAATGAATGTCTTTATCCAAGAATTTTGTCAGAGTATATCTCCTATTTCCAGAGAAAATAATCACTTACAATCAATAATTTGAAGAAAGCAAACTTCAGCCCAAATTGGACACAACATAATACAGCTTAGAGTGCCAGATGTTAATGCACAACTGGTAAGATCTTCACAGTCACAATATAATAAAGTTCTCTGTTTGACCCAAGCATTGTCTAAAGCAACTTTATCCTAATGTAGAATAACCTTCTTAGATGATCTTAAGAACCTTGCTTATTAAAAGCATAATACCCCAATAAAATCCACTTTGGAATTGCCCCAAACCCTGACCCTGATCAACATGTTTACGCCTTCTTATTTACTTGAATAATAATTTGATCAATGTTATCATATCGATAGAAAAAAATGAAACTTTTATTAATTGTTTACATTAATGAAAAAAGAAATATTAAAACACTCTCAATTAGACCAAATAGAACTGAACTCAAGTTTGGACAAGGTCAAGTCCAGTAAACAATGTTACATTATTATAAAATGTAATGGAATAAAAAGATTAAAACTAACAGTCAAACAAATATATATATATATATATATATATATATATATATATATATATATATATATATATATATATATATATATATATATATATATATATATATATATATATATATATATATATATATATACACACAAATAATACATTCCTAACTTAATATCAGACTGTTGAATCTATTGGTTATCATAGTATATAGTTGTGTTCAGATATAATTCAAGAATAATGATACATTTAAATCCGTCAGTGAAATTACGAAAGTGTTCATTAACTTTGAATTAATACTTGACCTTAGAAATTCAGTGAATTCGTTCTAAGGCATACTGGTTTACATTATTGGTATATCAGGACATTCAAGACTATTTGTATATCAGGACATTAAAAACTATCGGAATTCATTCTGAAGATTATATTATTTTCAAGTTGTGATGGACATTTAGAATTTTTTGCGATTTAATTCACAGTGCTAAACGTGTCTTTATAATTTCCATTGATAACTTAGATAAATAAATTGTTGTTCTTACTAAACTTGAATGTTTCGAATCTTTGTTTGAGATATTTTAAAACCTAAAATGATAACATGTGTAAGAATGATATAATCTTTGAATTCTATCACGTTTCTATATTGCAGAAAGAGAGAGAGAGAGAGAGAGAGAGAGAGAGAGAGAGAGAGAGAGAGAGAGAGTATTTTTCAGACACATGGTACAGTTCAGTTTTCTTGTCTATGAATGAAAAGACACCATCACATGTAAAGAAGGCCATATAAGAAAATGAACATAATTGGCCAATTTGAGAAAATACTAAGAACACATACCATTGTCAATATGTGACATCAAAAAGTTGAGTCGAAGTTCATGTATAGGACGCTCCTTGATTGTAAAATATTTGAATAGCTTTACTGTTGAAGAGCAATATGTAATAAGTCTTTAAGTCGAACATATAAAGTGTATTAAAATAGAGACTTTATTTTACGAGCAATAGTGTGTTTAAAGTCGATAGGATTAAATAAAAAGAATGGTTTTGGTTTGGTACATAAACTCGAGTTAGTTTTTTAGTGTACATGCAATTGAAATATAGTGCCTTACCCAAGGACGCATGCTTTTGATCGCGAGTCGTACAAGCTGACAACTGAGCCAGATAGAATGGAGTGCTGACAGAGGTTGCAACTAACACAAACTGTATACTGTTAAATAATACACTGTATACTGGTAAATAGCACACTGTATACTGATAAATAGCACACTGTATACTGGTAAATAACACACTATACTAGAACGAAATGTGCGCTGGCAGCTAAATGTTTGCTAGAATTTGAAACTAACTATATACCGGCTACCAACGCAAACATATTCCGACAGCTAAGACAAACTGTATACTGGCAACTAACATTAAGTGTATTCCACAACACAAACTGTATATCAGCAAGTAGCACAAACTGCATAACCGGCAATTGACATAAACTGTTTCCGGCAATTTACACAAATTGTATACTGGCAACTAATAAACTCTATACAGGCAACTAACGCAAACTGTATTCCGGCAACTAACACAAACAGTATACCGGCAAACTGACACAAATTGTACCCATCTAACACATACTGTATTCCGGCAACTAACAGTCTGTAAACGGTGACTAATGAACTATACCTTGACAACAAAGGCAAACTGTTTATCAGCAACTAACACAAACAGTATTCTGGGATGGGAACAAAACATAATGTATTCCGGTAATTAACACCAACTAAATTTCGTCAACTAACACAAGTTATGCTCCCGCAACTAACATAAACTGTGTTTCAGCAGCTAAAGCAAACTGTATTCCGACAACTAGGACAAATTATATACCGGCAACTAACACAAACGGTATCCCGTCAACAAACATAAACTGTATTTCAGCAAGTAACACAAACTGTATTACACAGCTAATACAAATTTATTCCGGTAGCTAATGCAAACTATATAGTGCTTGATACAATCAATAAAGTGGGGTTACTGTTGAAACAGATACTTCTGTGACTAGACGCAAATGGCAGTCCGCAAGAACATGATAGTGTAAGCCTTGAATTGCTTTTTAACTGTATATTTGTGTTGTTACATGATATACAAGTTTACATGATTTGTAGGAATCTGATTAGGAAGTTAAAAACTGCTGATTTGCTCAAGTCGCACGCACGGTTTGCTACAAAACGAATGGATTAGTATTATGAATAGCACAGGCTGTGATTTGGGATATATCTAATCAAAATGAAGTTTGTACGTTTGGTCATCGTATCAAAACTTTAGGTAGAGTGTTGCGACTCATTTCGTAAGCTGAGTCATCGTACTGGCGAGTTTTGTTTATTACTTGAATATTATATAACATTTTTCCTTTATTACTTTCATTGATGCAACCAAAAAGCTGGTATCAATGCGTTATTAATCTAAGGCCCAAACAATACGCAAATTTAACATCTGTATACTGGTAAAGTTGTTTATTTATTTTAGAGTACTAAATTCCATATTATTCCAAAATTCCAAATTTCTAAATTCCAAATTTAGCTAAATTCCAATTTATTTCTTTGCTAGCATGATACACGCCATTTTGAAGTAACATAAAACCTTTTCTTTAACCATACTAGCTTGATTTTAACAGATCACATGTATTTCAGCAAAATGACATAATTACTAACGAATTCAAGAAGATTGTCTATAATTCCCACCAGAAGGAAGACAGAATGACGCTTTCGATCTAAAATATAATATATTACCAAATTTTAAAATGTTGTGCATTTTCGTTCTTTCTTCTACAACGGAGCCAACGACTTTGCAGGTTTTAGAATCACTAAATTAAAGTAATTATCAAATCCGTAGAGTTCTTCAGCAAAAAGAAAAATGCAATATATTACCAGATTTTAACATTTTAATTGGTATAATTTATAAAGTTATAAATTTTTAAATTGTTAAATTTTTAAATTTTTATTGGTTTAATTTATAAGTTATAAATTTCTAAGTCATGATAAAATATAAAAGTAGAATGGTCAGTGAACATTTTACGTACTATATATTAACCATAAACACAGCAAAAGCAGCCATTATATGCTTCTATAAAAAAAAATATTCAAATAGCGTCATACTAGCCATGCTAAAAGCTCGAATAATTTCATAATTTTTATCAAAGAGCTGTGAAATTTAAAAGTAGATTTTACTTTTTTGTGGTGTTGTGTACTCTAATATGAATAAAAAATAAGTTGATTGAAACTTGAATTTTAACTAATACCCTACCAATAGGAGGCTACAAGTTTACATTTTTCAAAGTCAATGCAAGAGCTAAAATCAACCTTATTACTCAGAAATATTTTGAAGTCCAAAATCTTCCCTTTCTGAAGCTGGAATATAAAATAGGCAATGCCCAGGAGAAATGACATCACCTTTCATGACGTCTAACGATTTAAATATACAACGTGGACAGACTGGTTACTTCTCAATAGTGAAGAAGTGAAACATGCCACAACAAAAGAATTGCATGACGTCATGCAAA